AGCGGCAAAATCAACTGGAATCAAACTCTGATGGAAATGACAGAAAATGTATTCGAAGACATGTTGTTCACAGCACACTATGCCTTGTTATTACTGACTGTAGCTTTGATGACTTGGTGGTATTAAAGGACATTAAGAAACTTCATAAGCAGATTCAATAATGTATGCAGAAAACCAACATGCTTGATATCCTTACAGTTTTCTTTGACAAGTGACAGAGGGCAGCTGAAAAAAAAACATGGACGAAAATGACAAAGGAGGGTCAACTGGAAGGATAATCCACATCAAGCCAGAACACGACAGTGATCTCATAAAGACAGACAACTTGATTTATCTTACATGAGATTCACCCTATGTCTTAAAGGAATGAGATGAATCAAAGGCCTATGTGATCACAAGGGACTCACACATAAACAAGGACCCAACTCTGGAATTGAACATGCAGCTCCCTCTTGGAAATTTTGTGAAGATGAACAGTCGAAAAGTTCTGGCAGTTAATCATGTGTTTGAGATTATTCTGGAATACCTGCAAATAAGAGACTGACAAGAGGCATTTTTTACTATTTTAACCCAGCATAAAGGAGCTGCTCCCACCCAGAAAGGCTGTAAAGATTCTTCACTTGACAAGAAACATGCCAGTGTGAAAGGTGAACAGACAGTGATTCCAGTGAGGAGGAAAATAGCAGAAATGAAACTAACTTCAATACATGAAGAAGAAAAGTAGGAAAAAGAAAATAACACTAATCTACAGTGAACTCTGTACCACACTAATGTAATTGGTTTTCTTTTAGCAGAAGTTGCAATTCCAAGTTGACTATTCCAAATAGGAAAAAAGTGAATTTTTCTTCTTATGTCCAATATAAATTTTTTTTCTTTTTTTTTTTTTCTTAATTTAGGTTGTTTATTTTTCATTTCAATGAACATCTACAGAGATTTTGGGATTCCATTCATTCATTGTTGCACCCTTCTCCCCGCACAAACCCCTCCCCCCTCCCAGAATTTTTTTTTTAAATAAAACAGTGAAAAGTCCTTTAAACTCTATAGGAAAATGTTTACTAAGAAAGCTGAAATACAAAAAAAAAAGTTCATGGTTGGAGTCACTGTTGCAGATGTCAATTCATGTCAATGAAGATCTTTATCTTTTTCACTGATCCTCCACCTTTCCAACTATGATGTCCCTTTCAAAGAACTGGCCCCTCCGGACAATATGCCCAAAGCACGTGTGACAAAGTCTCAAAATCTGTGCTTCTAAGAAGCACTCCAGCTGCTTTTCATTCAAAACAGATCTGGCCAACGATGATGTATATTCAATACTTCAGCAATACCAAAATTCAAAGACAATGATTCTTCTTTGGTCTTCTTTATTCATTGTCCAACTCTCACAGGCAATTACATTGTGAAGAGGTATTATCATTAATGTTATAAAACAAATTGTTGATGAAAGATTGTATAGAAAACCAATTTGTTTTGTCAAAATTCACTCAAATCCAAAAATTAAAAAATGGATAAAGTATACTTTCCCTGGGTGGAAAAAAATAAAAGCAGAAGTGAGGTAAGTCCTAAGACAGTATCAGCAGCTAGAGGAAGGTAAAGCAATTATTAGGGCAAAAGCACCTTAAGAGATACATACAGCTGAGGGGGGAAAAAGATGGAATACACAGACCAAGAAGGGAAGACTGACAGAACCGGACTGCAAGAAAGGGACAGGACACAGAATTCCAGTTATTCTCAGAAACTGGAAGTTCTAAAACACCACATTCACCATTAAGTCAATTGTGACTCACAGAGACCCTGCCAGACAGAGGAGAAGTGTGCATAGGATTTTCACGCTGGTAATCTCCATGGGAATAAGCCCTCCACATCCTCTTCCTATGGCTGCAGTGTTGAACAACCTACTTTTAGTTAGGGTAAATCTGGTAGCATAGTAGGTAGGGAGTGTGCTCTCTACTTGTGGTAATTACAGTCTCCGAAAACTGACTTGAGGGTCAGCTCTGAGTTGGGTCCAACTCAACAGCAATGAGTTTGACGCTGACTTTTTGGTTAACAGCTGAACACTTTACCACAGAGACAGTGGAACTCTACATGTGGAAGTTATAGCACATGCCCTGAGAGAATTCAAACTCGTTACATGTACATGACCACACCATCTGCAACTTTTTCCATTTTCTATAGTTAGAGCATAGAATCAAGATTTACTTTTGAGAAAATAGTTATTTTAATGTTTAAACTTCGATCATATTTCATAGTTATCATTAAAATTCTATTTTTAAAATAATTTAAGCATTAACAAACACCTAACTTCTCAGAAACTGAAGTAATTTAAGAAATTCGTTGCATACTGTTAATCAAAGACATGGTGAGGGAATTCAAGTGAATGACTCATCTTCAACATAATGTCTCATTTAATGCACATCCAATCAGGAGTTACACAGGCTTTATCATCTACCTTTATTTACACATGAGGAAACTGAAGCTCAGTCATTAATTGATTTGTCATTAGGTTAATAATGTCACTGGATGGTATTATAAACAATTAACATGGTGGCTGCGACCCAAATGCTAGAGGTTTGAGCCTCAAAAAAAAGCTTAAAGATTTATCTCCAAAAAACTACATTAGCCACTGAAAACACTATAGACAACTTCCACCAACACACATGGGATCATTATAAGTCAGAATTTGGTTTTTGTTTTTACAAATTTTAGAACACAATGTTCTTTCTTTCTTAAGTTTATTCTTTGTTTGCAAGTTTATAAATATGGTTTTTCTAAACAACTGGACAGCATCAACAGAGGAATGTCTATCTGTGTTTCATTGACTATGCAAAGGCATTTGACTGTGTGAATCACAACTGTGGATGACTCTGAGAACAAATGTTCTGCAATTCGCTTTCTTCTCAAAGTCAGCCACAGTTGTGATCCACACAGTCAAATGACTTTGCATAGTCATTCCTCTGGTATTCTCTGCTTTCAGCCAAGATCCATCTGATATTAGCTATAATATCGTCAGTACCACTTCTAAACCAAGCTTGCATTTCAGACAGTTCTCTGTTGATGCTAATATCAGATGCATAAGCACAATCAAATGTTCTGCAATTCTCTTTCTTCTTAGAGTCAGCCACAGTTGTGATCCACACCGTCAAATGCCTTTGCATAGTCAATGAAACACAGATAGACATTCCTCTGGTACTCTCTGCTTTCAGCCAAGATCTATCTGATTAGCTATAATATCGTCAGTACCACAGCCTGTTCTAACCCAAGCAAGAAAGAAAGAACACTGTGTTCTAAAATTTATAAAAACAGAATTCTGTTGTAAGGAGAGACAGGTCCTTGGAGAGGGACATCATGCTGGGTAGGGTAGAGGGACAGCGCAGGAGGGGAAGACCCTCTATGAGGTGGATTGATTCAGTGATGGGGTAATCGGGATGGGTGTGTCAGAGGCAATGCGATTCTACAGGACAGAGCAGGGTTTAGGGCTGTTGTACACAGTACAAGTGCAACAATGAATGAATGGAAATCCAAAGTCTCTGTAAATTTTCATTAAAATTAATAATAAATTAAAAAAAAAAAGAATTGGAGGTAGACTCCTCAACAATCTGTGTTATGCAGATAACACAACCCTGCTTGCTGAGACTAAGGAGGACCTGAAGCACTTGCTGCAGAAGGTCAAGGACTGCAGCCTTAAATATGAAGCTCAACATCAAGAAAACAAAGATTCTCACCACTGAGCCAACTGGCAGCATCATGATAGATGGTGAAGAGATCAAGATTGTTAACAGCTTTAGTTTGCTTGGCTCTCTTGGTACCAGAAGCCAGGAAATAAAAAGATGAATTGCACTGGGAAAGTCAGATGTCAGAGACCTCCCCAAAGTACTAAAGGGCAATGATGTCACTCTGGAGACTAAGGTGTGCCTGATCCAGGCCATGATGTTTGTAATTACTTGCTATGCATCAGAAAGCTGGACAATGACTAGGGATGATAGAAAAAGAATTGATGCCTTTGAACTGTGGTACTGGAGAAAAGTGTTGAATATACCATGGACTTCTAGGAGAACAAACAACTTCGTCCTAGAGAGGATGAGATCAGGCTGCTCCTTGGAAGCGAGGATTCTGAAGCTTCCTCTGACATATTTTGGACATGTTGCAAGACGGGACCAGTCCTTGGAGGGGGTCATCATGCTTGAAACGTGGAGGGAACCACCAGAGAGGAAGACTCTTGATGAAATGGACTTGTTCAGGGACTGGATTAATGGGGTGGTAGGTATGTCAGAGACAATAAGATTGGCACAGGTTAGGGTAGGGTTTAGGGCTGTTGAATATAAGATTGCTATGAGTCACAAAACAACAACAAAAATTTTAAAATAATAATTCCTATTATTTATCTTTCCTTTCTTATTCTTTTATAATGATTTTCCACATAATATTGCTTTTTCATTCAATCATTCATCACTAACATGTTGCTTTATAACATTAGTTACCACTGATATTTTGTTTTTTTCACATAATGTAAAATAAAATGGTAACTCAAACAGGGATTCTTGACTAAAAACATTTCATTCCTTTACCACTGCCATAAGAGAAGCTTATAAAACACAGTGAGCGGAAAGTAACTCCTCCATTATTGATTACCTCCCAATGTCCTTTATTTTCTTTTAGCAGGAAAATACTTAATTCTCTGTGGTTGCTTGAGTCCTATTTGTAAGACTGCAAGAGATAAATAACCTTATTTAGATGGATAAGGAAAAAAGCAAATACAAAGCAAAAGCCTGGATAAAAAGTTGGTAAATAAATGAGGAATGTGCATTTTGACTGCAAAGAACTGGCTAATTACATACAGTAAGCGTACCATATGGTCTTTAGGAATATATGTACTAAAACTATTTTCTGTTTATTAAATTCTGGAACTTGAACAAAATTCCCAAACAGCAAGTTGAGTCTGTGACTCAGCACCCTGTTTCCCCCACAATTCAGTCACACGTTAGGGGGAAAGCCAGCACACTCACCTGATAAACACGTCATTAGGCCTAAGGCAAGCATGGCCCCTGCCAACACTGTCAGCCGGTTATACCGCATGGCCATGATGGCGGCGATGAAGAACGTCTTGTCCCCCAACTCAGAAACAATGATCACTGATATAGCAGCCACAAATGCATGGACAAATCCCAGATCTGTGGAGGTGGCTGAATCTTCATTATTTGTGTGAACTGGAGCTGCTGGTGTGATTCCTTTCTAGAATTTGGGGGGGAAAAAATCACCTGTTATCTTTTTTAAAATTATCATTTGAAAACCTCTTATTTTACATATGACGAAAGCCCACTTTTTCTCCATCATGGTTGTTGTTGCTGTTGTTATGTGCCGTCAAGTCACTTGCAACTCATAGCAACCCTATGTACA